TGGTGGATGTCGTGGAGTCACCTCCAACACTGCATAGGGTTTCCGAAACTATAAATCTTTACAGAACCACTTCTGTAACAGAGCTCCTTAAGGTTGTATGTTGTTGTTAAGTTCTGTCAAGTTGCTTCCAACCCATAATTACCCTGTATAGAGTTTCCAAGGAGTGACTGATAAGCTTAAACAGCCTACCTTGTGGTTTAAACTGACTTTGCAGTCCAGTGCATTAGCCCACAGCACTACACCAGGACTCCACAGTTATATATATACTACTACTTACCTCTGTCCCCTTTAGCACGTGTGCACCCTGTGTCTTCACCTGTCTTCATCACACGTTTGCTAACCTCCGTCGTCTTATATATTGCTCTTACCTTTTTTGTTGCCTTTCCTGTCACCCAAGTTAACATGTGTCTACCCTATAGCCAGTGAACTACTCTTCCTTCCTTCCCACCCCTGGCAACCATCAAAGAATGTTTCATTTTTCTCTTTCAAACTCGTATATATTTGTGGGATATAAAAATATATACATCTCACTCTTCCTCCCTTACCCATTCAGCCAGTGTCTCAATCTGTGTATCTATGTGCAGAACACTCTCATTCCAGGTTTGTGTGTGTGTGTATATATATCCCCTTTAGCCCATGCATACGTCCACTGTCTTCTTTATTCTTCTGCCATCTTTCCCCTTTCTTGTATAGTGCCCTCCCTGTCATCCAGGCTAACCTGTGTCTATCCTCTAGCCTGTGAATTACTCCCCCCTCTATCCCAACCCAGGTAACCATCAAAGAATGTTTCTTTTAGTCTGGAAACCTTTCCTTAAGCTTTTTTTTTTTTTTTTTTTTTACAATAATGGTCTCATACAATATTTATTCTTTTGTGATTGACTTATTTCATTCAGTATAATGTCTTCCAGATTTATCCAAGTTATGATAACGTTGCATAGTATTCCATTGTGTGTATGTATACCAAAGTTTGTTTATCCATTCTTCCATTGTTGGGCACTTGACTGTCTCCATCTTTTTGCTATTGTGAGTAGTGCAGCAGTGAACATTGGTGTACATGCGTATACTCATGTCTTGGCTCATATTTCTTGTGGATATATACCAAAAATCCCATTACTTTTTAATGCTGTTTTTCCACAGAACTGACTAAATAGCACTTAATAAAATCAACCAATTAGAGTTACGAAAGGAGTTTTAACAGCTAAATTTGTTGTTAGGAGTAGACTGCATCAGACTTTTAAAATAGCTTTAAACAGTTTGTGCTCAATAAAGAACGTACAAGCTTTTCACATTCATGGCTTTTCGTTTTCTGGTTATAACTGATTTTTATGTGGTGGTGGTGGTGGTGGTATTGGTGTGCCATGGAGTCAGTTTTGACTCATAGCAACCATGTATAAGCTTTCCAAGGCTGTACGTCTTTGCCGTAGCAGAAGGCCTCAACTTTCTCCAGTTATCTTTGTGTATGCTTTCTGTATTTAGGCATCATCTGCTATAAATATTAGCTTTGCCTTTCAGGAGAGAATTTATTTTTCTTTTTAGTGAAATATCATTTTTAAAGATGTTAAACAAATCATTGTAGATGAGATTATGGGGAACATGTTAAATTTCCATAGTTTACAAAGTTGTTAAAATGAATAGGTATTGATTTTATAATCAGAAAAAAATTTTTTTTTAAGAATTAACTTCTGAAAATAGAAATAAAAATAGTCTACATATCTTTCAAATTCCCTATAATAAATAAAGTAAGGAGAAGGGTAAGAAGAAACAAACATCAAAACATAGAAAACTAAGTATCAAGGTAACATCATAAAGCAGGGGAAAATAAATCTTCATTATAACAATAAACATAATTGGGATAGAAGGCTAGTATTAAGGATTTTTTTTATACACAAGAGGTTCACATAAAATGATTGAAAAACTTGAAAATGAGAAGACAGAAGGAAAGCGCAAATTATATTCATCTTGATAAAATTTTAAATGAAAGTAAAGCTCTATAAGCGGGGCAGATTACAGTGTTGAAGTATATGAGTCGTAATGATGATTCCCTGAATCTATGTATACTAAATTCTATGGAATTAAAATGTAAATACTTTTTAAATTACCAGAAAAGGAATTGTTAGAACTCAGTAGCTTAGAGATTTTAGTGCACAACTATTAAGTTTGTGGCAGATCAATCTGATCATTATTTGTATAGTCTGTAGTCTTACTTTAGTTCACATATATTCTTTAAAAATAAAATAAACCTTCTCCATGAGTCATGATAGGATCTCTGGTAGTGTAGTGGTTATGAATCGGGCTTCTAACCTCAAGGTCGGCAGTTTGAAACTACTAGCTGTTCTGCGGGAGAAAGATGAGGCTTTCTGTTCCTGTAAAGATGTACAGCCTCGGAAACCCTGTGCAGGGTCACTATGAGTCAGAACTGATTCCACAGCACTTAACAACAACAACAGCATAAGTTATGATAAAATGTTTCTAAAAATTGGCATGTTTTTGGTCATAAAGTAAGCTCAGGTAATTCTAAAAAGTAGAAAAAGGTTTTAAATAGATTCTCTGTCTACAGTTCAATAAAATTTGGTAGAGTTGAAATCTCTAAAATTCTTGAATCAAAGAAATCAAAACTGCAGTTGTAAGATATACAGGTAATATGAGTGAGTCCTGGTGGAAAGGTCAGTTTGAACCATAAGGCTGAACTATCAGCCACTCCTCAGAAATGCCATACAGGGTCACTATGAGTTGGAACCGACTTGATGGCTTAACAACAGTAATAGCATCAAAAGATACTGCATTTTGTTTTTATTTTTCTGATAAACAGCTAATTGTCTACACTCACTCTTCACTTGGAGTCCTGGTGTGGCCGCTGTAGGGTTAGAACTGAACTACATACCACAAGGTTGGCAGTTAAAACCCACCAGCTGCTCCTCGGAAACCCTGCACAGGGTCACTGTGAGTTGGAATTTACTCGATGGCACTTAGCAGCAAAAACAAGCAGGTACCAGCAAAGTTGGTGGTTCAAACCTATCAGTCACTCCTTGGATACCCTGTACAGGGCTGTTAGGAGTCAGAACCAACTCAGTGGCACATAACAACAGCAACGCTGTTCGCTTATTGATCTCATTTCCAACGTTTCACACAACAATAGTAAAAAAAATCTACTTTGCAACTATTTTACACATTAACTATATATGTTGTCTGGCAGTAAAAAACACTGAGGCACAAGGCAATTGTAACACTGACTTTCATGGTTAAGGTTTTGTGTCAACTTGGCTGAAACATAATTTTCAGTGGTTTGGCAGTTGTGTAGTATTATAGTCATCCTTCACTTGATGATATGAAGTGGTCATTCTCTATTTTCATACAACGTTGATTTTCATATAATGACCTGGTCTTTGGAACCTAATCATGCCAATAAGTGATGAGTGGGTATATTCTGGTTCTAGGAAGGTAGGTTAAAGAACAACATTCATTAAATTGTTTCTTGACTCTCAGAAATATACAACTCATTTGTTTGGTGAGGGATACACCTCTGAATAAGACTCTGAGCCTTGTGAGCCTGTTATCTATTAGATGCTGTCATAGATTTCATATTAGTAGTAACTTACTTGGGACATATGAAGGGGCTTCAAAAAGTTCTTGGAAAAATGGAATCAAAAGATAATGTAATTTTTTTCACAAACTTTTTGAAGTTCCCTTGTTTAAGAGTCATTATATACATTTTTTTGTGTAGTTCTGAGTACATTCATTAAGAGTATATTGAACATCAACTCTTTTTTGTTTGTAAGAAGAGTTCATAGAAAGTAGAGAAGGGTGTGTATATCTTGTTGTTGTTATGTGTCGTGGAGTCATTTCCGACTCATAGCGACCCTGTACATTCAGGGTTTCCGAGGCTGTATATCTTAGGAGCAGAAAGCCTCATCTTTCTCCTACGGAATAGCTGGTAATTTCCAACTGCTGACCTTGCGGTTCGCAGCCTGATTCGTAACCACTACGCTACCAGAGTTCCTTGTGTATATCTTAGACAGTGGATAGAGGAGAGAAAGCAAGAAGGGCATTGGAAAAGGTATTATAAAGGGTGTGTGACACTTAAGCTGGTCTTGAACATGAACAAGGGAGAAAGAATTCTAAAGGCTCAGTAAACAATGAAATATTCTCAGGCAGAGAAGGTACATTTGACATTTGGGAAACTGCAAGTGGATAGTGTGGCACTAGTAGTTAGCATGGAATTATGGGGAAATACTAAGAGAGTCCTGGTGTGGCACTATAGGATAGGCACTGGACTGCTAACTGCAAGGTTGGAAGTTCAGTCCCACCAGTTGCTTCTTGAGAACCCTATACAGAATCGCTTTGAGTTGGAATCGAGTTGATGGCTTAGCATCACCACCACCAAGAGATCAGAGAATCTCTGGGTGCTTGGAGGTTCAAGTCCATCCAGAGATACCTGTTTAATCTACTTTAGAAAAACCAACCATTGAAAATCTTAGCACAGTTTTACTCTGAAACACATGGAGTCCCTATTAGAATTGATTCAAAGGCATCTGGTAGCAAGAAATTATACGGGAGCCAAATTGGGAAAGTATGTTTGCCATACTAATTAATATGGGGTTTAAGCTTGAATAACCACTGAATTGCTTTTAGCAAGTTGGTGACATTGTAAGATTTAGCAGAGATAGATGCACTTCAGGTTAGCCAGGATGAAGTCAAAGTAATGGCAATAGAGATAATGTGTAGATTGTGGAACAGTTCTCAAAATGTATATGTTTCACATAGTCTTTGAAATATCTGAAAGTATATATAAGATTAATATGTTGTATGTGTTTTCTTTGGGAACAGGTCTGTAAATTTCATCAGATTACACAAGAAGGCAATTAGGGTGTATATATATGTTTCTATAGTAGGGAAATTTGACAGGATGACTTTCTCCAAACTGTAGTTTAATTAAATTAATGTTCACTCTACTCATAAGTGACTAATAATTTTTTTTTTTTTTTCCTTTTCACCTTTTATAGTGGACAGGCCAAAATCTCAGCAAGTTCGAACCTCTAGTACAATAAGGAGAACCTCTTCTTTGGATACTATAACAGGACCTTACCTCACAGGACAGTGGCCACGGGATCCTCATGTTCACTACCCTTCATGCATGAAAGATAAAGCAACTCAGGTAAAATAACTATATAAAAATTAGTGATATTACTGTACAGATTTTTGTTTTGATCATGATAATTATAATTTAAAGAAAACATTTTTTCACAAATTTGAAGTATAATATATTCATTTAACCAAAGAGAAAGGCCATTTCTTTTAATGAGCCCCCCAGAGTAATTGTTTTTGTTGTTGTTGTTGTTGTTACCTGCCATGTAAAGGTCATAGAACTATTGAAGACATAATAAATGGCACATCAGTTAAAATATGTCGTTTCAGAGACTTTTTTGTTATCATTTTAGAATTGGTTTCTAACAGAAGTATTACAGTGACTAGTAATCATATAACAAAGTACTATATGTTAAAAAAAAAGTTTGTGAATTCTTGAAAATATAAAGAATTGACACATGGCTAAGGAAGTTTATGTTAACTTTTTTTTTTTTTTTTTTCTGTTGAAAGACAAAACTAAACACTCAGAGAGGGAAATTTACTGTTTGTAATACCTTCTTTATTTGTAGAGGGTCCTCTATCTTTTGATTTGGAAAGATTTTTCTCCCATGTCCAATAATAATTGAAAACATCTTTATTCATGATTATCTGTGTTTTTCACTTTATCTTTTAAAAGTTAAAAAATCAGTATTTACTGACCCTGTGAAGAATATATTTGATCATAAAGAACTTAATATAGTTAGGAAACTAAGCTAAACTAATAAAAACTGGTAATAAGAGAGTATATAATTAAATGTTTGATGAATATTACATCCAAAGTAAGTAACTCAAAAGAAAGAGAAGCCATTTTGACCCAGGTGGGTTAGGGAAATGGAAAGATTATAGAATTTCATGTTTGAAGAATGAGAAAAAGCAGAGAGAATTTTGGACATTATCTATGACAATCTTCTTCTCAATTTATGTTATATTCTCAGACAAACTTGAAACAGTGAAAGTAGCTCCTTTGTTATGCATCTTAATCTACTCTGCTTTTATAGTCTTAGTTTTGTGAGGAATAGGATGAGTTTGAAATGTCAACTAATGGGTTGCTGAAGTAGAAAAATTAGTAAAATTTAGAGATTAGGGTCTGGATATTTAAAGGGTGATCTGGAAACACATAATCCAGAGTCATCTTTGTGATGGTGTTGTATTTACAAATATGATAAAGTGTTATTGTTGTAAAGTGCCATCGAGTCGACACTGACTCATAGTGACCCTGTGCACAACAAAACGAAACACTGCCTAATCCTGGGCCAGCTCACAATTGTTGCCATGCTTGAGTCCATTGATGCTGCCACTTTGCCAATCCATCTTGCTGGGGGGTTTTCTACAGCCTCAGTTTCCTGACCCTAAGAGAGTTTCCTACAGCCACTTCCCAGAAACACCCACTAGGATGCTGAGTTGTTCAGCTCCTCTCTAGTGCTGTCCTTGAAGAAGGCCTGCCCACAGCAGTAACCACCTCTAGACAGACTGGAGATGGTGACTACTGCGGACATCCTCATTCTGTGGAGAGAATCCTGTGAGGAAAGGGGCTGCTGACTCAACCTGTATCAAAACTCATATAACTCACCTCTAGGCTCAGCACAACTTTCTAGAGAGGGCTGGTTGTTGTTAAGTGCTGTTGAGATGGTTCCGACCCAAAGGCACCCTGTCTAGGATTTCCTAGTGGCTGGTGAGCTTGAACCAGTGACCTTGCATTTCAAACTGCTTTACAGTCCAGCACACCAGGACTCCAGACCGGGCTGGTTGTTGTTGTTGTTAGGTGCCATCGAGTTGGTACCGACTCATAGAGACCTTATGCAAAGCAGAATGAAACACTGCCCAATCCTTGGCCAACCTCACTACTGTTCCCACACTTGAGCCCATTGATGCTTCCACTTTGCCAATCCATCTCACTGGGGGTCTCCTCTTTTTCTCCGGCCCTTCACCTTACCAAGCATGATATCCCTTTCCAGCAACTGGTCCCTCCTGACAATATGTCCAAAGTATGGGAGACGAAGTCTGACCATCTTGGCTCCAAGGACCACTCTGGCTGCGCTTCTTCCAACACAGATCTATTGGTTCTTTTGGCAGCCATGGCACTTTTAGTATTCTCTTCCAACACCATAACTCAAAAGCATAAATTCTTCCACCGTCTTCCTTATTCACTGTCCAGCTTTCACATGCATATGATGTCATTGAAAATACCATGGCTTGGGTCAGGCTCACGTTAGTCTTCAAGCTGACATCTTTGCTCTTCAACACTTTGAAAAGGTCTTGTGCAGCAGATTTGCCTAATGCAATTCCTCATTTGATTTCTTGACTGCTGCTTCCATGAGTGTTGATAGTTGATCCAAGAAGAATGAAGCTCTTGACAACTTCAATCTTTCTCCATGTATAAGAATGTTGTTTATTGGTCCAGTGGTGAGGATTTTTGTTTTCTTTACATTTCTTTACATTATGTTTACATTGAGATGTATTCCATACTGAAGGCTGTGCTCTTTGATCGTCATCAGTAAATATTTTAAGTCCTCTTCACTTTCAGCAAGCAAGGTTTTATCATCTGCTTATCGCAGGTTGTTAATGAGTCTTCCTCCAATCTCCAATCCTGATGCCATGTTTTTCTTCATATAACTCAGCTTATCAGATTATTTGCTCAGCATACAGGTTGAACAAGTATGGTGGAAGAATACAACCCTGTTACACACCTTTCTTAATTTTAAACCATTCAATATTCCCATGTTCTGTTTGAACAACTGCCTCTTGGTCCTGTACAGATTCCTCATGAGCACAATTAAGTGTTCCGGATTACTTATGCTTTGCAATATTGTCCATAACTTGTTTATGATCCACATAATCGAAAGCCTTTGCATAGTCAATAAAGCATATGTAAACATGTTTCCCGGTGTTCTCTGCTTTCAGCCAAGATCCATCGGATCTTGATATCAGCAATGATATCCCTCATTCCACATCCTCTTCTGAAGCCAGATTGAACCTCTTGAAGGTCTCTGTCAACATATGCTTGCAACCATTTCTGTATTACCTTTACTAAAACTTTACTCGCATGAAATATTAAAGATATTATCCGATGATTTCCACATTACATTGGGTCATCTCTCTATGGAATGGGCACAAATATGGATCTCTTCCAATCAGTCGGCAAGACTGTTGTTTTCCAAGTTTCTTTGCATAGATAAGTAAGTGCCTCCAGAACCACCTCACTTTCTTGAAAGATTTCAATTTTTATTCCATCAATTCCTGGTGCCTTGTTCTTTGCCAATTCCTTCTATCCACCTTGGACTTCTTCCTTCTGTATCATTGGCTCTTGGTCATACGCTACCTCTTGAAACGGTTGAACATCACCCATTTCCTTTTGGTACAGTGACTCTGTGTATTCCTTCTACCTTCTTTTGATGCTTTCTGCATCATTCAATAATTTTCCCAGATAATCCTTCAATAACGAAAATCGAGGTTTGAATTTTTTCTTCAGTTTCCCCAGTTTGAGAAATGCTGAGCGTGTACTTCCCTTTTGGTTTTCTGACTCCAGATCTTTGCACATTTTGTTGTAATATTTGACTTTGTCTTCTTGAGCTGGTTTTTGTAATTTTCTGTTCAGCTCTTGTACCTCCTCATTTCTTCCATTGGCTTTAGCATTTCCATGCTGGAGAGCAAGTTTTAGTGTCTCTTCTGACGTGCATTTTTATCTTTTTCTTCTTTCTTGTCTTCTTAATGACTTTTTGCTTTCTTCCTGTATGATGTTCTTGATGTCATCCCACAACTCTTCTGGTCTTTGGTCTTTAGTATTTTATGTATCAAATCTGTTATTCAGATGATCTCTAAATTCAGGTGGGATATATTTAAGGTCATGTTTTGGCTCTTGTTGACTTGTTGTCATTATCTTCAGCATCAGTTTGAATTTGCATATGAGCAGTTGATGGTCTGTTCCACAATCTGCCCCTGGCCTTGTTTTGGCTGATGATATGGAGCTCTTCCACCATCTCTTACCACAAATGTAATCAATTTGATTTCTGTGTATTCCTTCTGGTGAGGTCCATGTATATAATCATCTCTTAAGTTGTCTAAAGAAGGTATTTGAACAAATCATTGATTTTGCAGAATTCTATCATGCAATTTCCAGGTATACAGTATAAAAAAAGAAAGACCAATAAACAAGTGGAAAATGAATATATTCATCTGAAAACAAAAAGGAGATGGCATTTATGTCTTGTGTTTCATTTAATTCTCACAAGAACATTGTAAATTACATAGATAGGGAGAGATTGCTCAGGGAAATGAGTTATCCATGGTTATAAAGCTAGAAAGTATTGGAACCAGATTCTAACACAGGTGTATCTATTAACCAATCTGGGCTTAGTGTTTTATAGTAAGATGGGGTAGTTGAGTAAAAGGAATTACACATCACATTGTATATATATTTTTTATACTATATATTTCACCTAGTACAAAACATATTATATAATTGACCCTGTACCATTGTACTAAAAATGGCACCAGCTATTCTGATTTAAAAAAAACAAAAAACAAAAAAAAACCCCAACAAAACCAGCTTTATTGATACTTAGTTTACATACCATATAATTCCTTTATTTAAAATATATCATTTCATGGGTTTTTGACTTTTTGTTATAAATTGGGTGAAGGTTTACAGAGCAGATCCTCAGTTTTATATTCAATAAGTCGTACACATTTTGCTTTATCTGATTGATCACAATTCCATCAGTGTAATATCATTTTTCCCACTTCTTATGTTTTCTGTTTATTCCTTCTCCTGTCTGAACCCTTCTGAACTTTATCATTGGGTAAATGATGCTGTTTTAATCTCAACTGGTTGATTATTCTAAGTGTGCATATCTCACTACTCTTATGGTTCCCCTTATGGATATACCACTTAGCTGGAAATTAAGCTATGGGGGTCAGTTTAGTTTCAGAATCAAAGGGTGACTAAGGAACATAGTCTGAAGAGTTTCCCCAGTTTCTATATGACCAGTAATTGTGATCCCTTTTATGATTTTAAGATTTGTTCCACATTTT